TGCCTGGCTACGCACTGTTCCGCGCTGATCGCTCCACTGGCCGTCAAGGGGGTGGTGTAGCTCTTTATGTGAGTTATCACATCGACGTATTGAGGACCAGCGTTTTTCAGTCTCTCGACAAATCTGTTGAGGCTCTCGCAGTCTTGATTTGCGCTTCCTCGGTTCAGGTTACGGTTGTGTTAGTGTATAGAAGCCCTATGAGCACCTCCAATGGAATCATTGACTTTATACGCACTCACTCTGCGAACAAGTGTCTGGTGCTGGGAGACTTTAACCTCCCAGATGTTTGTTGGGATGATCTATCTTGCAGTTCGACGCTGGAATCGTTCGGTACAGAACTGCTGGACTTGACGCTGCAGGTACCACTACACCAGTTCGTGGACCTCCCCACTAGGTACATGAGCAATCAGCAGCCGTCCATTTTAGATCTTGTTTTTGCTAAGTCACTTGACTTTGTAAATGACATTAAATATGACTCGCCTCTTGGCGCTAGCGATCACGTTTGCTTGTCTTTCCAGTGTGCTCTTATCAGGTCTTGCCAAGCTACTACCAGTTGGTATCCGAACATTTGGGCCGCGGACTTCCAAGCGATGCGGGATAGAGCTAGGTCATCGCCTTGTGTGATATCTGATACCGACACTGTTCATATAGCCTGGGAAAAGCTTAAGGCTCACCTCGTCGACATTTCTGCACCTCACGTCCCACTGGTAAAAAGAAGGGAATCGAGAGCGCAGCCTCCGTGGATAGATTCCGCGGGGAAGGGCCTGCTAAAGAAGCGGTCTAGATGCTGGCGAGCTTACCGAACAGCTCCGTCAAACGGCACGTTTGACAAATATCGGTTGGTTCGAAATGAGTGCAAGCTACATCTTAGGTTGGCCCGGCTTCAGTATGAAAAGGGCTTAGCTCATACTGCTTCGAAAAATCCCAAGAGATTCTTTGCTTACGTTAAACGACGCTGTGGTGCAAACTCGCCCATTCCACCATTGCTTCGAGGAGATGGGACCCATGCCTATAGCGACTATGACAAGGCATGCGTGCTTGGTAAGCAGTACTCAAGCGTCTTTGTCCGCGAGACAAATACGCCATGCAAAGAGTTAGTTCCAAGAGTCCCTGAGGACTGTTGTCTGGATGAAATTCCTGTAACGGAGTCCCAAGTTCTCCGGTTGCTAAAAGAGGTGAACCCAACTAAGGCTTCTGGGCCAGATTCTGTTCATCCAAAATTGTTGCACGAATTGGCAGGGGAACTCAGTGGACCTCTGACTTGTGTGTTTCAGAAGTCACTCAACAGCTGTATCTTGCCTACCGAATGGAAGGAGGCTGTTGTCTGCCCGATTTTCAAGTGCGGTGACAAAGACCTACCTGCTAATTACAGGCCTGTCAGCTTGACTAGCGTGGTCGTTAAGTTACTTGAAAAAATAGTACGAGATACAGTGGAGAACCATTTAAGTAGGTTTAACCTGCTTAGCGTCGAGCAACATGGTTTTCGCAAAGGATTTTCGTGTCAGACGAACTTGCTGGTAGCTCGAGAGTGCTGGGCTGAAGCCGTAGACAGTGGACATGCGGTGGATGTGGTGTTCATTGACTTCGCCAAGGCCTTTGACACTGTCCCCCATTCGCGACTCTCGCTGAAGTTGAGGTCTTATAGAATAGCTGGTCGTGCTCTCCAGTGGGTGTCAGCTTTTCTGGATAGACGGGAACAGTGTATTCGTGTAAGAAGCAGTCTTTCGTTTCGACAGGCTGTGCTTAGCGGCGTTCCGCAAGGCTCTGTCCTAGGTCCGCTGCTGTTCTCAGTCTACGTGAATGACTTGCCGGAGGAGCTTGAGGTACAATCGCTTTTATTTGCAGATGCCATCGCAATGAGGCTGGACCTTACCGTGGTGCGATGGTTTGCGTGCCTCAGAGATCCATTGAGCTATGCTGGGTGGTGCTTTTTTTTGCACCTTTAGAGCCACTCATACCAGATTGGTCAATGGTTAGAGGCCAGACAAACTCAGCCTCCTGGTCCTCCAGGTTGGGGGTTGGAATGGGGGTGGCTCCTCATTTCATAAAACGGGCTCTGTAGTCCAGTGCCAAAACCCGCTGCCTTGCGGTAAGGTTTTTGAACCAAAGGCTTTGGTTGAGAACCCTAATCGTTCTCCTGTCTAGGCCTGGGCAACCTGACAGTATTCTGCCCACGCAATACAATGAACCTTTCCTACAACAATTTCTTGATGCTCTGGCCGTCGCAGAGGATAATAAACGGCGCCCTATCTGCTGCATCGAGCAGGGTGGATAGGGGTTTGGATGCTACTGCTCAGGCCTTCCCGTCTTCTTATACCCCTTCTTGCGCTTCTGCATCCTTATTGTCCCGCTCCAACTTTACTTATATCCCCCCCATTTTCAATCCCCCAATTCTTGGCCCTCCCCCAGCTTACTTCAATAGTCGCTTGTCTTCTAATTTCAAATCACACACAATCGCAGGGCCTCGCTCCAATCCAGTCGATAAGTCCATGTTCAACCAAGCGGACAACGTCAGTTCATCCGTTTCCCTTTGGAGTCCTCGTGTCTCGCTAAGATTGGCATGCCTCAACGTGCGCACTTTGCTGCAGATTGGCCAACAGGCAGCACTTGCCCGCACACTAGAGACCCTATCGATCGATATTTGCTGTTTATCAGAAACCCGCCTGCAAGATTCGAGCTCCGTGCTTACCCTGAGATCCCCCACATGCGACACTGGCGGCACATTCTCATTGCGCCTATCTGGCGATGATGCAGCTTCAAATGCCGGTCAAGCCGGCGTCGGCATTGTTTTGAGTCCCCGGGCTGAAGCTGCCCTGCTTGATTGGATCCCAGTAAACAGTAGGATGTGCGCCGTTAGATTAGCTGGTTCGTTCCGTGCTTCGAAGTCGCGCGGGGACAAACGGTGCCTGTTTGTCATTGCGGCCTACGCCCCTACAAACTGTAGCACTGATTCGGTAAAAGATGATTTCTACCAGCAACTTCACGAGCTCCTTCGTTACAGAAGAAGCACGGATACTGTGGTGCTGGCTGGCGATCTAAACGCCCAAGTCGGAAAATTGTCCTCTGATGAGCTTCATCTGGGCGGCCAACATGGTGTAGGCTCCCGTAATGATAATGGTGAGCGATTGCTCCAGCTGTGTGAAGATGCTCGCCTGTTTCTCGCGAGCACTAATTTTCGACACAGCACCCGCAGAAGTGTGACTTGGCGGCCACCAGCCTCGGGCCAGTCATGGACGCAAATCGATCATATCGCGATCAGTTACCGCTGGAGAGGCTGTGTCCAAAACTGTCGCTCGATTTGGAGCACGAGCGTGGACTCTGACCACGCACTTGTCTGTGCCGACCTCCTGATGCGCTTCGGTGGACGTCCGCAACGTCGATGTGAACGGATTGACACTAGCCAGCTGGCGAAGCCAGATGTTCTGAATGTGTACCAAGATGCGCTGACATCTGGGCTGAGTAAGCGCCCACTAAACACCGTTGAAGATCACTGGTCGCACACTCGTCAAGCGTTGCTATTAGCAGGCATGTCTTCATGTGGCAAAACAAATTGCCAAACCGGACATTGGGTCTCTACACAGTCTCTGGAACTTATGGATGCTCGCCGACGTATTCCGGCTGGAAGCGAATACAATGAATCTCGCAAAAATCTCAGGGCGAAACTACGTGCTAGCCTAAAGAAGGACCGCGAAACCTGGTGGTCTCATCGTGCATCTGAGATGGAAACAGCCGCTGCCATTGGTAATCATCGTAAGTTATACCGTCTGATACGGGCAACAGGCAGCAGGAGACCTGGTGTTAGCGAGACCATACGCGACGAGAGTGGGCAGATTATCCACAGCCTGTCAAAACGCTTGGAGCGTTGGGCTGAACACTTTGCTATGCAATTTAACCAACCTGAGTTATCACTTTCTTCGGGCATTGAACGCCCTTCTCCTTGGGCCGTCTCCTTGGATCCGCCCTCACGCGCTGAAGTCGAACGTGAGATCAGGCTGTTGAAATTGCATAAGGCCGCAGGAGCAGATACTATTCCTCCAGCCCTCTTCAAGTTCGGTGGACCTGCTCTAATAGGTGATCTACACGAGTTGCTAGTAAAACTTTGGGAGCAGGAGACAGTCCCGACAGACTGGAACCGCTCCGTCATTGTCCCAATTTTCAAGGGAGGCTCCCGTTTGGTATGTGGCAATCATAGAGGGATCAGTCTGATTTCGATTGCCTCTAAATTGCTTGCCTCTCTCATTCTCCACAGACTGACTGGCACTCGTGAAAGCCAAATTCGTGAAGAGCAAGCCGGATTTCGTCGAGGTCGGGGCTGCATCGACCACATCTTCACATTGCGTCAAGTGTTGGAGCACCGCCATGTTTATTGGCGACCCACCGTTGTCGTGTTTCTTGACATAAAAGGTGCCTTCGACTCAGTCGATCGATGTGCCCTTTGGGACTGTCTGTTGAGGAAAGGTGTGCCTGATAAATATGTAAACATTATCAAAGCGCTGTACGCACATAGTTCGGGCAGGGTGAGGGTTTATGGCAAACTCTCGCCACCCTTCAGTATCACCAGCGGTGTGAGACAAGGATGCCCGCTGTCACCTTTCCTCTTCAACTTCGCTATTGATGAAGTCATGGAAACAGCGTTCGCTGGACACGACCTAGAAGGTGTGGAGCTACTCCCTGGTGAGCGACTTCTTGACTTGGAGTATGCAGACGATATTGCCCTAATCTGTGACGGCTCCCAAACATGCCAAACAGCACTGAACCGATTAGCACTGGCTGTCAGTCGTTTTGGGCTATGCTTTGCTCCATCAAAATGCAAAGTACTTCTCCAAGATTGGCAGGGACCCAATCCTGCGCTAACGCTTGGTGGTGATCTGCTAGAAGTCGTTCAGGAATTCAAGTACCTGGGCAGCTATATTAGCACCCGTGGGATTGAAGATGAGGTTACGAACCGTATAGCAAAAGCTCGAGGTGCTTTTGCCAATCTCCGCCACCTGTGGCGCAGACGCGACATTACTCTCGCCCTCAAGGGCAGAGTTTACAACGCAGCCGTCCGTTCAACTCTCCTATATGGCTGTGAAACCTGGCCCATCAGGTCGACAGACATGAAGAGACTCGTCACGTTCGATCATCGCTGCCTTCGCAGCTTAGCTCATGTCTGGTGGGAACACCGCGTGAGCAATGAGCGTGTTCGACGTCGCGTATTTGGTGCAGGAAGAGCGAGTGAACCGCTCAGCACGATTATATCACGCACCAGGCTCCGATGGCTGGGCCACGTCTTGCGCATGCCAGCACACCGACTCCCACGACGTGCATTGTTTGCGCGTTGTGGGTGCGGTTGGAAGAGGAGGAGGGGAGGCCAAGTGATGACTTGGTCGCGAGAAATGAAAACCCTCACTTCGAAGTTGGCGTCGGTTGGTGCATCCCGACTGCCTGGCTGGGGTCCTAAGGACGGTGAACACGTTTGGCTGGACACACTTGCTGATATGGCTAGGAGCCGGCCCCAATGGCGTTTGTGTTGTGAGTTCCTTTGTCCATCCCCCTCCTGTTTAGCATCCCCCTCCAATCACGATCTCAATCGTTAGGCATAATATGACTTTCTTTTACGGCAGCCAGCTGTTAGCTCTCCGGAACGATGTCCATCCGTTACTGGGGACTCAGCGGGCGTGCCACTGTTTGTTTGTTTGTTTTTTCTTTTCTTGCCTTTTGTATTGCGGCACAATAGCTGAGGTGTTTTCCACCTCCAGCTAACGTGTAATGATGATGATGATGATGCAGATGACCTAAAGCTCTGGAATATTGTTGATATCCCTGGAGGTCCTATGGCTCTTCAACGGGCTCTGGATAAACTCTGGGAATGGTCTGTCTTGTGGTTGCTGCCTATAAACCGGGCAAAGTGTTCAGTGCTGCGTATCGGAGCGTCTGATTCCTCCACAAGTTATGTGCTCGATGGGACTGTACTTCCTCACGTGACTCATCAGGTTGATCTAGGTGTCATCCACTGTTCCACATTACACTCTGGAGACAACTGGAAGAAGGCGGCTAGTAAAGGGTTCCGATGTTGTGGTTTATCCGTCGTTCTTTTGGGACCCTAACCGCTGATGTATTTGTGAAGCTCTTCTCAGCGTTTGTGCGACCCCACCTAGAATATTGCGTCCAGGCCTGTCCACCATGCCTTGTCCGGGACAAAATGGCACTAGAAAGGGTGTTGCGTGTCGGTACTAGGTTGGTCAAGGGATTACGAGGGCAAACGTACCCCGAACGCCTACTTAGTTTGGGAATGCAGTCAATGCACTATCGAAGAATTAGAGGGGACCTAATCCTAACCTACCGTATTTTGACTGGGAAGGTTGGCCCTGATTTGTCCATGCTATTTAGTCCTGCTAGATTATCTGGTCTCCGCGGGCATTGTATGAAGCTGGACAAACCGCGGTCCGATCGAGTTAGAGCGGAGACACGCTTATCGCGTCGAGTCATCGAGCGCTGGAACCTGCTTCCTGAAAATGTTGTCAAGGAAGCTACGGTTAAGGGGTTTGAGCGTCAACTAGATGCTCTTGGGTGGCAACACGAAACCTTTCCGTTTTCCTGACAAATTCCCATCTTCATACTTCGATTCTATTTTCTTTGCTTTTCCTCGTCATTGGTATTATTCTCTTCTTTTAACTGATTTCCCCTACTCTCTTACCTTCGATTCTCCTTCCTCTCTTACTTACTTCACGTAACTGACACAGCTGGGACAGCTAATGTTAGGAACGTGGGCATTAAATTGGTGGACCAGGGTGTTTTTCGGGTGTTTTCCTTTTAGACCCATCAAGAAGTCGGAGCACCCCTATCAACTCCTGGATCGACGACCCGCTCAAGAAGGAACACTTACGGGATTCATCCTATCGTTCCAGTCCCACTTGAACTTGAACTTGAACTTGAATGTTCAGTTCATGCGTCTTTGTTTGGCAGATCACCAAACAGGGGCCCAATACTCTACATGAAATCAGCATAATTGCTGGAATAAAATGCCCCACCCAAGCTTGAACATTGTCGCCGAACACTTTGCTGCAATGGGGTACACCCGAACCACCCAGCTGGCACCACGAGGAGGTAGTTCGGCAAGCCAGCTTGCCCACCATGTCTTATCCGAGACAAAACGGACTTGGAGAGGGTGTTACGAGTGGGTATTCGGTTAGTGCAGGGTACGGGGACAGACGTATCATGAACGCTTGCTCAGTTTGGGGATGTACTCCATGCACTACCGAAGGATAAGAGGGGACCTGATTCTTACTTATCGTATTTTGACGGGTAAGATCGACCCGGACTTGTCAGGGCTATTTAATCCCGCTACGTTACCTAATCTCCGCGGTCACCCACTGAAAGTGCATAAACCACGGTCTGATATGATTAGGACGGAAACTCGTCTGTCGCTGGAATTCGCTTCCAGATCACGTGGTTAGGGAACCTACGGTTAAGGGTTTTGCGCGTCAGCTCGATGCTCTTGGGTGGCAACACCAAACCTTTCCTTTTTCCTAATTGACTCACCTTCACTTTCCATTTCCTTTTTAATGACTCATATATTCTGGTATTCTACTTGCTTAGCTCTTTCCACTTTACCTTTTTGCCTTCTGGTTTTACTTTTCCCTCTTTCTTACTTCACGTAACCGGCCCAGCAGGGACTGCTAAGGCAGGATACCAGCGCATTAATTGGTTGGACAGGGTGTGATGCGGTCTTTCTTTTAGGTCCACATGAAGGACTTTGCTGACCGCTAAAAGGACTTCATATGCTATCATGGTCTTGTAACATCTTCGTGTGATAGAATGTTACAAAACTCCGAATGACGCAAATCAACATTACTGTGTAGCGTTTGCCCTTTACTTGGAAATGCACGCACTCCATCGTACACCTCATAATGGCGGACGAAGATAACCAGCTTACCTGACCTGACCTGACCAACGAAGGCTACTGCGGTTAACTGGCCACCTTGACTCACATGTTGATATGAGAAGCAAGAACTGCAATGGGAAGTCGAAATACCGGGGGCCCTTGGCTGTTTGCTGGTGCAAGAAGCAGGACGCTCGTTAGGCGGAAACCTATACTGTTCTGGGAGCTTGACCTGGTCATTGTCGTTCCAAATGGACTAGGAAGGTGATGGTGCTTCTTTGCAAGGAGGGTGAGAAACCTTCATGCGGCAAATGCTAGCACATCATTTGTTGTAATACATGTGTTAGGTGGTGTTCATTGCGCCAGTTCGCGGATAAAATGTTACGGAATATGTCTTCAACATCACAAGATGCCCTCCCTAACCAACACCGTTGTTGAGAAATTGATTTGCCTGCCCGTTATGCCTTTTATCGCGCGGTTATCAGTAAGCTGTGTGCATATGTAATAAATTCACTCATAGGTTCCACTTTCGCGCTACAGTTTTGCTGGATGCAGGTAGTCCGGCAATGGATCCAACGAGTGAAAGCGCGATGGCGACACGCAAAGAAAAGAAACCACTGTATTATCTGCAAATATGTAATATATTTCCCGCGCAAATGAGTACAACAAATCGCCAAGCGTGTCAGCATTTAACAGGGGAAAAGGAGGCGGTGGTGCATTAATACAGGAGGAGATTTGGGAAAATATTGGATCATTAGATGATAGAGAGCAGAAGGAAGGTCCTTTGTCAGCTCCGTCACTTCCTGATCGTTCCGGGGATAGCCTGGGTCATTGCGGAACAAGGTCCCACAGAGAAACACTGAAGCTGCATTGGAAACAGCCGGATCCCCGAAAATTAAAATGAGAATCCAACAAATGCCTGAAGCGTTCCTTTGTCTCGGCATCGACGATGGACTCCGGAAGGCGGTTCCAGTCATTCACGACACGAGTTGACAAAGCCAGGCGGGATCGCACTCGATGATTCCTCTGTTTGAGCGGTTTCAAACTGTAGCCTCTTGTCGAGCTATCTGTGTTGAAACGAAAAATTCCTCCTCTAAGAATACGTCGGGTGAAGATCAAATCTCCGCAATGACCACGGTAATCCAGGGGAAAGAGGTTCAGTTCTTTTAGTCAGAGAGAATAGGACAGGTCCTGCAGCTCAGGAACGGATTTGGATCAGCGCCGTTAAACTTTCTCAATCATATCACATTCGAATTTCGTAAGAGAGTAGGCGGCACGTGTCCCGTATTCGAGAAGCGGGTGTACGTGTAAACAGGAGTCGGAAGAGCCTCGGTGTCAGGCGAGAGAAGGCTTTACGTATTGAATGAAACATCCTTTCATCATCATCATTATACACGTTAGCTGCAGGTGGAGAACACCTCAGTTATTGTGCCGCAATACTTAGGACAAGAAAAATACTACAACGGTGGCACGTCGGCTGAGTCCCCACTAACGGATGGACATCGTTCCGGAGAGCTAACAGCCGGCTGTCGTGCCGTAAAAGAGTTATATTATGCCTAGCGAATGAGATCATGCTTGGAGGGGAGGCTAAGCAGGAGGGGGTGGACAAAGGAACTCACAACACAAACGCCATTGGGGTCGGATCCTAGCCATATCAGAAAGTGTGTCCAACCAAACGTGTTCATCGTCCTTAGGACCCCAGCCAGGCAGTCGGGATGCACCAACCGACGCCAAACTCGAAGTAAGGGTTTTGATTTCTCTCGACCAAGTCATCGTTTGGTCTCCTCTCCTCCTCTTCCAACCGCACCCACAACGCGCAAACAGTGCACGTCGCGGTAGTCGGTGTGCTGGCATGCGCAACACGTGGCCCAGCCATCGGAACCTGGTGCGTGATGTAATGGTGCTGAGCGGTTCACTCGCTCTTCCTGCACCAAATACGCGACGTCGAACACGCTCATTGCTCACGCGGTGCTCCCACCAGACATGAGCTAAGCTGCGAAGGCAACGATGATCGAATGTGACGAGCCTCTTTATGTCTGTCGACCTGATGGGCCAGGTTTCACAACCGTACAGGAGGGTTGAACGGACGGCTACGTTATAAACTCTGCTCTTCAGAGTAAGGGTAATGTCGCGTCTGCGCCACAGGTGGCGGAGATTGGCAAAAGCACCTCGAGCTTTTGCTATACGGTTCGTAGCCTCATCTTCGATCCCACGGGCGCTAATATAGCTGCCCAGGTACTTGTATTCCTGAACGACTTCTAGCTTATCACCACAAAACGTTAGCGCAGGATTGGGTCCCTGCCAATCTTGGAGAAGTACTTTGCATTTCGATGGAGCAAAGCATAGCCCAAAACGATAGACAGCCAGTGCTAATCGGTCCAGTGCTGCTTGGCATGTTTGGGAGCTGTCACAGATTAGGGCAATATCGTCCGCTCACCAGAAAGTAGCTCCACAGCTCGTAGATTATGTCCATCGAACGCTGTTTCCATGACTTCATCAATAGCAGAGTTAGATAGGATAGGTGACAGCGGGCAACCTTGCCTCACACCGCTGGTGATACTGAAGGGTGGCGACAGTCTGCCATCAACCCTAACTCGGCCTGAGCTTTGCGCGTACAGCGCTTTGATAATGTTGAAGTATTTTTCAGGCACACCTTTCCTCAGCAGACAGTCCAAAAGGGCACGTCGATCGACAGTCGAAGGCATCTTTTATCTCAAGAAACACAACGGTGGGTCGCCAATAAACATGGTGGTGCTTCAACAATCGACGCAAGGTGAAGATGTGGTCGATGCAGCCCCGACCTCGACGAAATCCGGCTTGCTCTTCACGAATCTGGCTTTCACGAGT